TCCTGGGGAGGCTCTCTGAGCTGGGAATTGGCGGCCTGGCATTGTCCTGGCTCCGTTCCTTCTTGGAGGACCATCCCCAGAGAGTACAGCTTGGCAAGAGTGTCTCGGCCCCGTGGAGTCTTAATTGTGGGGTTCCACAGGGGTCGATTATCTCCCCAATGCTGTTTAACATCTATATGAGGCCGCTGGGTGGGGTCATTAGGGGATGTGGAGCTCGGTGTCATCAGTACACTGATGATACTCAGCTGTACATCTCCTTTCCACCTACCGCAGGAGATGCTGTTCTGTCCCTTCAGCGCTGCCTGGGGACCGTACTGCAATGGATGCAGGAGAACGGGCTGAGGCTGAACCCGGACAAGACGGAAGTACTGAGGGTGGGCACCCCCACAGTCGGGGGTTTGGGAAACTCCCTCTCCTTTGGGGGAGTGACCCTCCCCGCCAAGGATGGGGTCCGCAGCCTGGCGATCCATCTGGACCCGGCGATCACCTTGGAATCGTCCAAACCGCCTTTTACCATCTTAGGCGGATAGCCCAGCTGCGGCCCTATCTCGATGTGGGGTCGCTCACCACCTTGATGCATGCGCTCGTAATCTCAAGATTAGACCACTGTAATGGAGTCTTCGCCTGATGCTTTAACTGGCTCCTGTTGTTTGTTTTGAGGGAGGCTCGTTAGACCCCACTGAGTGCCGTTTTCGCAGTCAAAAGGCGTGTGTAATTCTTATGTTCTCCCCGATTCTCAGTCCGGACAACTGCTCTGACTTCCTGACTTTCTCCTCCAGCTGGTACTCAGGCAAAATATCCCGGCAGGAAGCAGAGAAGATTCTTTTAAAGAGGCGTTTTCGAGGAACTTTTCTTCTCAGAGAGAGCGAAAGCAGTCCAGGGGATTTCTCCATCTCTGTCAAGTAAGTCTACGTGAAAAATTGAGATGCTCTTAAAATCTGCAAATTGTGGCAAATTGCATTTAATTAATAAGGTGCTGGTTGGATGCTGCTCCGGCAGCCTGGAAACTAGATTAACTCATGCTCGGACTTGGTCTAAGCAGGTGGTTCTCCAATTGGGGGTCCTTTGTTCAGCTGGACAGGGTTGTTTCTTGAGAACTGGGCGGCTAGGGTTACAAGTTCTCTGTAATTTAGGGGCTGAAACCAGAGACCGGAGAACAGGCAAATTGATATCACATC